CTTCAAGTTATTGTTACAAAGCTCACGCAGTGGCTTAAACATTTACTCCCAGGAGGCTATTTCTCTCCCACTCCTCTTCCAACACAGCCAACCAAAAAGAGCATTTTTGTCTGAGACTTTTTGTCCTGTCTCAGTGCATACCTGAAGGCCCCTGTTAGAGAGGCACAGTCGATCCCAGACATTAAAATCCTCCTGAAATGCCTCAGGCTATACACCTGGGGTGGAAGAGTGCCCCGGAGTGTAGGTGAGGTGATAGAAGCTGCCAAGGACTGCAGACTGAGGGTCTCATCAGGAATTCATGAGATTGCAGCTGCAACTTCTCTCCCAGTACAGCAACATTTGTCCTGGTGACTGCTTATTAGATAGAGACCACCAGAGGGGTAGCTTGCACCAGCACAAACACAGGGTGCGTGATTATTAGGCCGTGTGGGGAAGTATCCAGTTCAGATAGTTCATGAATTTATTTCACAAGCTCATAACAAAGCAAGGCTGTATGCAAACAGCAACCATCAAGTCTGGGCTGAGACCTAGACTCACGTTTCTGTGCCTCAAAGAGGAAATAAGTGCTGTGTCCCCAGACTTCTCCCCTGCAATGGGAAGGAGTGGAGTCTGCCTCCCTGGGGTGGATGGCTCAGGTGGCCCAGGTGTGAGTGGATGCCGCACTCCTGGAGTTATGCTTGGGAAAAGCAAAGACTTCCTTATCAATGGTTGTAGAAAGCAAGGTTTCTCAGCTCTGTTTCCTCAGGGTTCATTAACTTGTCCTCTTCTCCTGTAGCCAGCTTCACAGCTCCAGAGCTGTGCGGACTCCCAGGGAACCATCCTCAGGAGGGCATGGTGTTTGGTGCGGTGTTCCTCTGCCTCAACCTGACTTAAGTATTGGACTTGCATTTTCTGAGTGAGACTGTGGAGCACACACAAGGCAGGGTGGTGGTGTCTAGAGACTGAGTGTGTGGGGCAGGTGGCTTGGCCACTTGGAGCTTGTGCCTGCCTGGAGCAGCCTGGGTGCCTTGGAGCTGAGCCTGGCCTTAGCTGCAGTAGCAGTGGCCTTGTCTGGGAAAAAAGGAGCCTCTCCACATGGGGCAGCACTGGGACTTCTTGCCTGTCATTTCTGAGTCATCCCCAGAGCCTCCCAGGAATATTCAGCCCTAGGACAGGCACCACAGGTGCTCTGACAGTGAACTGCCAGCAATTGATTGCACAACAAGCATGCACACGTGGTGGTGAAGCATGTCACAGAGTTAATAAATTCTTCAGAGCTTCTAGAATTGTTCAAGGAATTTTCCCAGACTCAGACACGGAAATTAAGTTTGAGAAAGGCAATCACATTCAACAGAGAAGGATTTTTTATATATAAAGTTTCAGATGAATCAATTGTTAACAAGTAAGACTTTAATATTTCCTTTTTATTGAAGACGTAGAATTGTGTGCATAGGAAAGAGTATTGAATTAAGTAGAAACCATGTAGCCAATTTTAGTTTCTTGTGGGCCTCTACATCTGATAGGAAAATTCAGAAGAAATGTTAAAATTCCATTGTATGAATTTACATTTAAATTTAAATTCAAACTTGGATAAAAATGATTTGTCTAGGGTTAATGTTTTGTTCTTTTTATTTTTTTAAACTATTTATTTTAAAGGCAGAATTAAATAGAGGCAGATACGGGGGGAGAGAAAGAGAGAGAGAGAGAGAGAGAGAGCTTCCATCCACTTGTTCACTCCCCAACTGGCCGGAGTGGCTGGAGCTGGGCCAGGCCAAAGCCAGGAGCAAGAAGCTTCATCTGGGTATTCCACATGCATGCAGATGCCCAGGGGCTTAGGACATCTTTTATTGCTTTCCCAGGTGCATTAGCAGGGAGCTGGATCAAGAGTGGAGCAACCAGGACTTGAACCAGCACCCATATGGGATTGCTGGCACTGCAGGCAGAGGCTTTACCCACTATGCCACAGCACCAGCCCCTAATGTTTTGTTAAAAATTTTTCACTGAATTATCAGCTGAAGTTGCATGAGAGCTTACATTTGAAACTAGTTTAGCCCAATGTTGTCGCAGTTATAAGATATTCTTGTTGCTTCTGCAACACTTGCATTGGTAAATTCTTCTCAAAATTAAAAAGTGAAGTTGCTCAAATCTAATGAATGAGTTTGCAGAAAAGTGGGCTTGGAAATTTTATGACCAAGGAAGGTATTGTATGAATAAATTGTTATTATATTAAAATTATGGCACTGAATACACTTTTTTGCAATTTGCAAACTTACATTGTTATTCATGTATGATTTTTGTCTCTATTACATTCTATAAATGATAAAATATTTTAAAGATAAAAGCTGTGTATGTTTCTACCCTTAACAACACATCCCTGCTTTTTTAACATAGTGTCCTGCATTTTCATTTTGCACTGGACCTTGCATGTTTTGTAGTCAGCCTTGTTATGGCCACTTATTTATTTGGAAGGTAGAGTGGGAGGGAGAGAGGGATAGAGACTGATTTTCTGACTATTGGATCATTGCCCAAATGCCTTGAATCGCCAGACCTGGGCCTGGATGAAGCCAGGAACCAGGAACTCCATCTGGGTCGCCCATGTGGGTGGGAGGGACTCATGTATTTGGACTATCACCCATTGCCTTCCCAGGTGATTAGCAGGAAGCTGGATTGGAAGCGGAGTAGCCAGGACTATCCCAAGCAGCAGCCTAATTCACTGTGCCACAACACCTGCCCTTTTTTATAAGTAATTCCGTCTAATTCTCACTAGTTAACCTGCCAGGGAGGTGTTACCAAAGGCTAAAAGGCATGTTCAAGGTCATCTGGTTACTAAGTGGTGGGAGATGTAATTTGGAACAAAATCAACCTCTATGGTCACACAATCACTGGTGTTCTGATAAATTCGCCTCTTCATTCTCCACAAACCAAAAGCTAGAGTAATTCCCAGCTAAGCATCAGCCTCCCTGGAAGCTACCTTCCTCCTCTCAAAGCTCCAGAGATAATTGGAGGGGTAAGATAAGAATTTGTCCAGGCCTTATGGAAGGTGAGCAATGAGTATGCAAACTACTGCCACCTGGTGGCAGCTGTCAGTCAGTGGCCATAAGAGGTAGATTCCTCTCATGCTCCTGTTTGCCTGAGGGTGGGTGTGTGTGCCTGAGGCTTCTGGTAGTTAATTGCTTTCCCCTTAATAAACGTGGTGAAGTTTCTAACACTTTTATTGATCATCTCAGATAATCAGCTTTTCATTTTTAAAAGCTATTGTGTGTCCATTTTCCTTTTTCCATTTTTATTCTTTTTATTTACCTTTGCTACTGAGTAGTTCTCTTAGCTTTCTGTTGTGGTGGTGTGGTGGTTATTGAAAATTGTCTTTCATTATTTGAGAAGCGTTTTTACCTTCATATGTGACATATATATGATTTTTGATGGCGTGGAATTACTCCAGTTTTTTATTCTGGTATGTAATTTCATTAATTAAAAAATAGTAAATTTGTGAATTTATAGTCTCACTAAATGTGGAAAGCAATAGGTCACTATTTCCTTCACTCTATCTGCCCTCCCCCAACTTCCGTCTGGCTCCCAATACACAGAGGTGCCAGGAAGCTTGAGGTGTTCACGTAGGCCACTCTGTTTCTTCTCTCGGCTTCATTTCACTATTTGCGATGGTGAAGGTGCAGCTTACTGATCTTCCCTCTGCAATCTCATTCACAACGAATGCAGCTTAGAATATTTTCTTACTCAAATACGTGTTGTTCTTGTGGCTCTTTATATTTTCATTTCTCTCCTTATCATGACCAGTTTGCTTTATAGCCTTGGACATAATTTATAAAATGTGTCATCACCCTTAACTCTGTTTTCAGTCACACTAGTTTGTCAACCCAGGTGTGTTTTTATTAATAAACTTTTCTGCTCATTATGGGTCATGGTTTCCTGTTTGCAATTTTTTTTTTTTTTTGAAACAAGATACTACAAACCTTGGGTTGTTGAGTGAGGATTTTGGCTGCTTCCTTTTGAAGATCAGCAGCCTTTAATCTGCTCACACTGGGATTTCTTACAGAGCAGCCCCTTTCAAGAGTAGTTTATAAGAGTTTGTTCGAATCCTTGCTGAGCAGTTTAACCAGGAACCAAATAGTTGCACTTCATATACGATGCTTTTGTGGGGCCCTGGTGTTTCTGCATGTATCTAGTGGAAATAGAAATTATTTTCAGCCCTGTGTTTGATCTGGAATTGTCATCCAAAATTTGGGGTGTCTTTGTTTTCCTCTGGCCTTGTCATGTTTTATTCCAAGCATGCCCAGATCAGTGGTGGAAGGACCTACACACACACACACACACACACACACATGTAGCACTCAGGAGCTCTGTCTTCTTCCAGATGCCTCCCACTCTGGTATTCTCCCTGGAAATGGGGGTGTCTTGTGCCACCTGGACTCTGGTGTGAGTCCCGTCAATGGGGCAGCACTGTGGGCCTCCAAGTCCTCCTCCCCATGCCATGTAGTCAGCTGGGCAGTCTCAGCGCCCACTTCATTTGTCTTTCTTTCCACAATCCCAGTCCTACACTGCTTTTTGATCAGTGGCTGAAAGCAGCCATCTTGCATCTTTTGTCTGGTTCTCCATGGTGAGGGCAAGTCCTCTAGCAGCTAATCCTGTTGTGACGGAAGGTGAGGTGCTCCCAGCTCTCTTGTCTTTCCTCCCTTGTGCCTTGTTGGAGGCTGGTGTCAGGGAGGATGGGTAGTTCTGTATCCACATTGAGACAACACTCAGGCAGGAAACGGTGGGACCTCGAATGACTTGAATGTGTCTCAGCTCAACACATGCTTGTGGATCGTCTTTCACACCCAGAGCATTCACCTAGCAGGACACAGATGACCTTGGCGAGGTGCTTGCTCCTCAAGACCCTGCGATCCGATATGGAGATTGGCTCCACCCAGAAGTGCACGGTGTAAAACCCCAGCAAGATTCCGAGAGGATGACTCAGGCCAGAACTCTGTGGTGCCTGGGAAAGATCCTCTCTATTTATTTAGGAAATCAGATCTGTTTCCACAAAGGAGGCAGAATTGGGGACGACGCCCTTGGGATGGTTAAAGTGTGGAGATGAGGTTGGAAGGCTGATTCTGCGTCGCATGTGAGTGAACCAGAGCAGAGTCATGTGGTGGGAAAGCAAAGGGAATATCTGGGAGGAGCCAGCTTCCTCATTCCTCTGAGGAGTAAAGTTTTCCAGAGGATTCAGGATTAGGAGAGGAAGTCCAGGGAAGAGGGTGTAGAAAATTCAAAGGCAGGGGACACAAGAGAGCAGAGAGAGTATTGCGGGAGGACAAGGAGTCCAATTTCACTGGGGTATAAAATTGACAAAAGAAATATAACATGATAATCATGGGTGCCTTAGATTCCTGGGGAGATTTCACTTTATTTAAATGAAAAAGGAACCATAAGGTTTAGTTGTCTATTTGGTAACAACCACTACAATAACCAGAATTTTTTTTTAACTTTTATTTAATGAATATAAATTTCCAAAGTACAGCTTATGGATAATAACCAGAATTTTTAAAGTGATCAAACTTCTACCGTTTTTCTTTAAAAAATTTATTTTATTTTTACAAACTTTAAGAAGGAATTCCCCCACTTGACAAGGTTCTCCTGAAGTTCTGGATATTTTTTATTTCTTTGTTCGGCAGCACTTTCGGCCACGCAGAGAACAACGGCCAATCTGTTCCTCCTTTGGAAGGCAGCTAAGCAAAGCACATCGGCCCCTTCTTAGCTTGCAGTAATATTTATGTGCTGCATTTATGAGTCCTCCATTGCCTGCATTGAAAAAGCAAAGCATTTGAGAAAGTTTAGCAGGAATTTTTGTACAGATACAAAGCTGTTGGAATTCCTCAGATAACACATCTGTTGCCTTTCTGTCATTTCTTTCTTTTTTCTTTTTCTACATCAAGAGTCAATCAAAAAGGTAGTACTAAGCAAGCATTAGACAATGTTTCTGCAGGTTGAAGCTCCACTGTGGACCCACAGCAGTGCTGAGAAAGGAGGGAGACCATGGGACCTCCTATAGGGATGTGTGAGGGACCGGGGCAGGGGAGCAGAACTGCAACTCAAGTGGCCCAAATATTCTCTATTCAACCATTAACTTAGCAAAATGGAGGTCTGAGCTTCTGTTCTCAGATAAAATCTTCCCTGTTGGAATAAAAGGTTTTTATATTACCTTTTTCACATATAAAACAGACTTCCAATGACAAGGTGCTTGAGGGGTGCAGTTTTGTGAACTGTTTAGTTTCTTAAGAGTGGCTCAGAAAAGTCTAGGAAGCCTGCTTTAGGCTTCTTGATGTGTATTGTCAGAAAACAAAATAGAGTTGTTTGTTCCCAAGCAATGAAATGTGTTTTACAACAAAATGGATGTCATTGGACCATTTTGCTTAGTGAAATGAACCAGTCCCCAAAAGACCAATATCATTTATCCTAATTTGTGGTAACTAATATGCAGAGTGCAAAAAAGTAATCTGTATGAGCAAAATTGACATTTTAAGATTTTATTATTGCTTGTAGCCCTTGTCTATATTCTAGAAGAACAGTGGTTTTTCTACTTACTACTTGCTGAATTATTTATTTAATGGAGGGTTAAGTTTGTGATTATAATGTAAATTGAAAGTATTCCATTGTAAAAGTTAAAAAAAAAAAACAAGAAAGGCAGGAGGAGGGAGTGTGGGAGAGAGGGAGGGAAGGTGGGGTGGGAAATATAATTATGCTCTTAAAGCTGTATATATAAAATACATGCAATTTGTTCCCCTTATATGACTAAAAACAATTTTTAAAAATCTCCCAGAAGAAGGCAAAAGAGCTGACTGAATTCCACATTCCCAGTTCCCTCGCCCCTTGCTGCCCAGCCCATCTTACCTGGAACAGGCACCAAGAATAGGAAGAGTAATGCAAACAGGAGATAATGGATCCTCATGGCTGACAGGCTTCACAACTAGACTGGATTGAGAGGTGCTTGCTTACTTTATAAATGTCCCAGCCACTGGTAGAAGCAAGCGATGGCTGCAATTCTTGTAATGGTACAGTGATGACACTATGACATACTTCCTGATGCATCATACTGGCGCTTCCCAGCACAGCATACACACCCACTCACCCAGGAGCTAATTACAAGCCTAATGGTGCCCCAAAGCCTGACAGGGCTGTGTGCCTCTCCTTGTGTTGTCTGAGGCTTGTCTCTATGTGGCTCAGGTCTGGTTGTGGGTGCAGACAGGGCTTATGTGGGCAAGATCTTGCTTCTTTTGCAACTGGTCCAAGTAGCTTGGGGCTGACTTGTCCACACTGTAGTACTTTTAAACTGTTTGCCTCTTCCTACACTATACCCAGCATTTTAGCTCTCAACCCTAATAGCATTTCTCAGACATCCTGGGAATCAGTTCATTCCATCTGTGGACTTATTCCAAATCTTGGGACAGGATTGGCTTTTAGGAGGTGAAGAAAGGCAGGAAAATGGACCATATTCTAGAACCACTGACCCCATGGCTTCTGGCCAATGTAAGGGAGCTATAACCTGAGAAAAACACTTCTTGCACTTCATTTTTGCCTGACCTATTACATTTATGGGTCAAGAAACTGTCCTTAGAGGGAAAGAATGCAGGATGATATAGTTAATGCATGAGCGTCTTTTCCTTAGGGACAACACTCACTCCCTATACAAAAGAGGGCCTTCACAAGATGCATTTCAGGAAAATTCAGCAAAGTCCAGGGATTAGGTGATTTCCATTGGCTACAGAGTCCCATAGGAAAAACTGCATGTTAAAGAAAAATGAACTATTAGATGTGGGGGTGGTTGTGGCACAGTGGGCTAACCACCACTTGGCTTGCGCACATCCCATATTGGAGTGTCTGGTTTGAGTTCTCATTACTCCATACTTTTGAACAAGCTTCCTGCTAATGTGCTGGTAGGCATCAGATGATGGTCCAAGTCCTTGGGTCCCTGCCATCCGTGTGGGAGACTCAAATGGAGTGTGCCTGGTTCCTGGCTTCAGTGTAGCCTGGCCCTAGCTATTCCGGCATTTGGAGAGTAAACCAACAAATGCAAGATATCTCTCTCTATCGCTCTTCCTTTCTGTCTCTCTCTCTCTCTCCATCTCTGTCACTATACCTTTAAATAAAATCTTTAAAAAATTTTTATTTAAATAAAGAAAACAAATTTAATGTATTTCATATATACAGTTTTAAAGCATAATGATGCTTCCCACCTCACCCTCTCTTCTTCCCTCACTCTCCCCTCTTATTTTTGCTTTTTAATTTTTACAATGACATACTTTCAATTTAGTCCACGATCAGAAATAAATCTTAAAGAAAAACTATTAGACCATAAACTATGGAGGAAGTCAATCAGTGGGTTGTTACTTGTTGATAGATGTTTAAATTGTAAGCTGAGGTCACCATGACTTTGCCTGGCTATTGCAAATGTATGACTGTATTTATAACGGATTCACCAAGGTTCTGAGGTGTGTTGTGGGAGTGTGTGTTCAGGATTCTGGCCCACAGTTGGGTTCAGTGAGCACAGGTTGTGCGTCTCAGTGTATGTGCTCAGTGCAGGTGAGAAAACAAGGAGAGTGAGACACAAAGAGGGACCTGTCCTGTTTCTCTTTCTCTCAAAGTGCATCAAATGGGAAGAAGTCAAATAATTACAGGGTGGATTCTGATATGTGTCATTGTAAGAGTTCAAATGCAGGGCTGAGGAAAATTCAAAGGCGATTCATATTGTAGACTAGGTTTAGATCAGCAGATTTAAGATGACTTTGGAGTTGTAAACACCTCATGTCTTCTAAAATCAAACTTTCCTCTTAAGTTGAGGATTTGAGACAAGGCAATTGGAAATATTTGTAACTGCGGGACATGAGTGTGGGTGGAGTACTTACAGACTTGGTGGTGTTACTCTGCCTCCTAGGATAGAAGTGACACAGCAGGCAGGGTGTTGTAGAGGGTTATAACCCATTCTCAGCCCAGGTGCAGGGCTAGACTCACAAAACCATCATGTCACTGGAAAGGCTAGAAAGGACCGATTTTTTCCACATGGAGAACAGACCACCACATGGAGGTGAACTGTTGGCCCAACCTGTCCTTTCACAGACTGGGAGGCACTTGACGGAATACCACTGTTTCATAAGAGGCTGTTTGGAACAAAAGCTACTTTTCCTTGCAGACTCATGTGTAAGCTGGGGTTATGGCAGTCACCACTTACAACACCAATTTGGAGGAACATTTCTGTGTTTTGAGGAAATTATGAAAGTAACAGTTGTTTAGGATGAAATGGCAAGTGACAGAAGACAAAGATAGGACTTTGCTTTTTCTATGCTCCAGGGAACCACTACGAATCCTTGCATTCCTTCTTTTTTGGTTTACTGCAACTTCTTTTATGTCAAGATATTTCAGCCTCTCGAGTGGTAGTGGTTACACATGCACTCTCTGACAGATGAGCAGATGACTGCATACCTGCAGTCTCACAGCACTGACAAGAGTTGTGTTTTGTCCTTTTCCTGCCATTGGGGCTTTGAATCACGGGGCTCAGAAATGCGCTGGAAACTATTGCACGAGGTGCACTTGTAGCCCTAACAGCACTTCTCCAGTGTTGTTTAGAGGAGAAAGCAGGCGATACTTCAGCGATTTAGCTTTCCTAAGTCAGACTTTCCTCTAATCATTTTTTTAAAAGTCGCTGTAAAAATATGAAACAGATTTGATTGATACAAGTTTTCGGTTGAGGGAAAAGTGATGTGGTGGACAAACACTGGTTTTGGAGTGCGCAGTTACCAGTTTCACCTCCAATCTGTCCTTCTTTATGTGCATAAATTACCTAAGGTATTTGAGCATTTGTACCTCAACAGTAAGTCACAGAGAACAATGTATTTCCTGTTTAGCCCATAACAAAAGTCCTATGGGTTAATGGTGTGAAACTGACTTGTGAACTACAACTGTGTGATCATGCATCACCCCAGGTATCACTCATGCGGCTCTCAGGGAGAGTGACTGAGAAGAGTGTCAACAGCAAGACAATGTAGACACTGTAGCATGGGAATTCTAGGAAGGAAATTCAATATTTCATATTTTTTTCATTTGTTTATTTTTTTGGTCTGGACATACTCTAAGAGTGGCTTAGCAGTTCTCTTTGTGGCCAGGTTAAGGTCACCATGATCATAATTATGTGAGTTAGATAGGTTGAAATGGACATTGTGGGGTAGGCTTTTGGTGCAGCAGTGAAGATGTTGGTGGGATGCCTGCAGTCCATATTGGAGTGCCTAGGTTTGGACTTGAGTCTTGGCTCCTCTTCTGTTTGCACACTTTGAGAGGCAGCAGGTAATGTATCAATACTGCAGTCCCAGCCACCCATGGAGGAGACCCAGACTGCTGTACCAGTTTCAGGCTTTGACTTGGTCTGGCCCCTGCTGTTGTAGGCATTTGAAGAATGAGTGCACTAGCACATGGGAGATCTCTCTATATATCCCTCTCTCTCTCTTTCTGCATGTCAAATGAAATAAAAATAATTTTAAAGTGGACATTGTCCTAATTTTACAAGGCTTCATTTGTACTAGGCTTAGTGGTTGAATGACTCTCAGTAAATGGCTATGTTGTGACTTGAAGCCAGGCAGCATTGCCAAACACTCCTCTGCCTGCTCTCACATAATCCCTTGCCTGTTGTGCCAGATTTTGCACTGCGGGGAACCACGTATGTGCCCCAGGAACCCCTGCCAAACAGAGGTTGCCACATAGATTGCGGGGCACTGGCAGAAGATGTGAGGGCAGGAGCTGATAAAGGAAATTTCTATTCCTGTACTTCTGAAGGCACCTCTTATGTGGGCTCCCATTCCTACTGGAAAGCTGCCCATCCACAGGCCAGCCTGCATGAGGCATGTGCTCCATTGCTCCAGCTTCTGGGTGATCCACGGTCTAGGCTTTGAGAATATCCCTGCCTTTAGCACTGGAATCATAGGAAGAGCAGTACCTTTCTGCCATGGCAAATTGAGTCGACCCACCATATATTATGGCTTCTCAGTTTTCCTATCACCTAAATAACTAATTCCCTATATTGAACCCCTCCAATCTGAAATCCCTAAATTCACTGGTTTCCCTTATTGGATTCTGTCTATCTTCAAAGTGCATTATTAAAAATCTGCTTTCTTTCCTTTGTGATCTAGGATTTTCTCCACACTATCTTCCTGTATACTTTATCAACATCTAAGATTAGTATAATTCCACATCTGTAGTATGTTGGGGAGTTGCCAGGTTGATAACTTAATTGTGGTCCATTGTTCATACTTGTCACAATTGTGTATGTTTCTTTTATTTTTTTAAAGATTTATTTGACAATTGTGTATGTTTCCATGGTAGGTATGTATGGGAGACAATTTCTAGCATTTTCTCTGTTATTTTTGCTTATTATTTATATCCAAAAGAACATAAACAAGGAAATAGGAGAAACAAAACTTTTCCCAGATGTGTAATTTTAGATGATTTTTTTTCCCAAGAAAGGCGGCAAACATAGGTCTTCAGTCTGGGATCATCTCTGGAGGTATATTTTTTCCTCATGGTGGTTTGCTTCTAACTTTGCTTACCTTGCTCTGTTTTGCATAATCATGTGTTTGCACATCTCCTAGTGGCATCTAAACTATGATAGTTCTGAAAGATACTGACTTCCCTTAAACCCAGATCAGCGACCACTTCATCACAGGGGGTTAGGGAAGCATAGGCTTTATTTAACACTGGATAACTGAGTTGTCTGTCTCCACCAAGTCTTCTGGGTGAGGACTAACACTTCATTTCTTCCTCAGGCAGCAAACTTTATTTGCATTGTTGCATCTTGCAGGCAGGTACACACATTGTTGGCCTTTTGGCTTCCTGCAGACACCCCTAAATTCTGCACACTTGATTGGATATTGCAATCCATTCACTGGACAGAGAGAGGAGAGTGGGAAGAAAATATCAGTAGAAGGGAGAGGCAAAGAGAGGGTGTACAAAGAAGAAATATGAGTTGCGTATGATGGGCCTGTGGCTCAGCATGAGTCACAGGACTCGAGATCTGGCCAATCTGGCAGAACAGGCAGAGAGACAGAGTTCTCCAGGAGCAGGAGCACAGCGGT